AGAACATTTCACAAAATACACACTCATTCTTCTTCAACATGTAATAAACTCCACAAATTTCTTAAAAAACTTCAAAGCTTTTTCAGAATTAGGATTCTGCAAATAAAACACATGTCCTTCATCTTCTTCCACAACCACTTCAACCTCACCTCCCCAATCACTCCTTTTCAGCTTCGCCGCGTAACCCAATCCTTGCCGTACAAACACATCTTTCCCAGCCACCGCAACCAAAACCTTCTCACAACCCAACCCAGAAAAATCCGACCCGGATCCGTTTACATTAAACAACGGATCATCCGTACCATTCACACTATACGGACTCGCGACTCTCTCCCAAACCTCCGCAATTCCGTTTCTGATTTCTCGATCTTGAACATCGTGTTCATCAACTGGATCTCTTCCCCAGAAAGCTGGATGAACAATCGCAATCCCTTTGAATCTCAGATCTAATTTCTCTTTACCAGCTCTCATCGCCATATGATGAGACATATTAGCTCCGGCGCTATCTCCGGCGAGAAAAACTCTGTCGAAATCTGCGTATTCGTTGATCCAATCTTCTTCACCAGATCTATCGGAATGAGAGAAGATCCATTGAATCGCTGACCATGAATCTTCATACGCAGCCGGAATCGGATTTTCCGGTGCACGACGATACTGAATCGAAACGGCGAGGCAGTTAGCCGATTTAACAACTTCCGTTAAGTAATTGTGGTAAATCGGTGAGAAAGGAGATTCGATTATCCAAGCTCCGCCATGGATGTAAATAAGTAAAGGAAGTTTGTTGTTGTTGTTACCGGAGGAGATTGATTTTTTTGAAGGGAGGAAGAGACGAACGGAGAGGTTATGTTCCGGTGAGTATAGGACGTCTTTTGAAACGACGTCGTTGGTTGGATCTAGTGACGTTGGGATGATTTCGGTGCCGGAAATTCGTTCGATGTGGCCGGATTTGTAGATTCTGACGAATGGAAGAAGCTCTGAGGAAATTTCGGATTCTTCTTCCATTGTTGTTGATTGAAGAAATTGAATTGAAGAAGAAAGAGTGTGTTTGTTGTTTTTGTTGTTGGAGTGGTTTAATTTGTCACTTCACTGTTTTTATAAGTGTTAATATTTTATTTTATTTTTTAAAAAAGGGGAAGAAAAATATTTAATGTTTTATTCTTTACATACGACACGTAGCAAAGATAGTGGACACGTAGCTTTTTTTAATTATTTATTATCTTTATCATAATTTAAGGAAATTGTGTCAAAAATAGTAGATGGATTCTTTAGGAAGTTTTTTTAACAGCTAATATGGGCGTATATAGTGATAATATATTCAAAGGAAATGAATTTCACAAAATTCTCCAAAAAATATTAGAGGAATATTCTGATACAATACTATTTGTAAACACTATTTAGAACGTAACATATTATTTTTAATAGTAATTAAAAAAATAACAGTTAATTATGACTTTTTATCTTATTATGAAAATCATGATATTTTTTTTGGTAATATATTATATATTATTCCGTAACATTATAATTTTGAGAAATTGCACTCCATATACACAAATAATCTGGTATTTGGAAATCTAACCACGCCACTATTTAGAGTACTGTATGCATTTTCGTAAATCAAGAATATCCCTTATATTTGAATTTTAAATGTGGAAGCATGTGTACGCGTGGAGTAAAAGACAACTTTTATATTAAAGATATTTTTGAGTTATATTATTTATAAAAAATAACTACAGACAATAGCAATTCTCTTTCATCTTCACTCTTCCATAAAATATCTTTTTCTCCAGAACAATACAGTCGTCGTCGATTTCCACGGTTTTCCGGCACTCCTTTGTAGTTATGATTTGGCTTCAAATAGTTGGTCTTCTCGACTATGTCAAGTTCTCTTCTTTTTACTCTTCACCGATTTCTTTAGTAAATTTGTTTATGTTTCTATCTCAAATCTAAATCGATTATTCAAAAGAAAACTACCGCCACCGGAAATTGAGTTACGATGGCATCAAGTTCCGGCGACTAATCTCATATTCCGGCAACTCATCTCAGATATGCAGGTAAAATATGTAGTAAAGGAATTTCATTTATGGGTTGGATTGTTAATGCGAAGGAGGAAGAGGATTTTGAGATTTTGAAGACGTCTCCCTTTGCAAAACTTCGTTTTCCTGGAGAATTTTGAGATTCATCGTTTCTAGACAAGTGAAAGCGAAGATTTTGGGGTGTTGTGTAAACGAAGTCCATTATCAGAAGATTCGTAAGTATCATAAGTCCATCAATTACATTGGTGCTAGGGTTTTACACTTTTACTATTAAAGATTTTCTAATAGTTGTACTCTTGCAGGTATGGAGGATCATGATTTGCTGGGAAAAGGTTTTGCCGCCGGGGAAGAGCCAGTAGGTGAGAAAGTGACCTCGTACAACAAAACTCGGTGGTTCAATCGATTATCAAAACGCTGGAAGAAGACGAGATCAAGATCGAGATTGTAAGGAAATTTCTGTTTCCAAAAATATTACCCTACATCAGAAATCGTCATTTCGGTAGATTTCTTAGATTCATCATTTTCCGACAACTAAAAGTAGGGGTGGACAAATT